CTCCCTCTCTCTCTCTCTCTCTCTCTCTCTCTCTCTCTCTCCCATCAGTCCAACTAGCCCCTTTTCCAGTCTGTGATCCTTCTGCCCATTCAAACCTCAACCCACCTCAAACCCAAAACATTGAACTGGGTTTCAGACACCAGCGCTCAAGGAATTTCAGCCTCACCCGGAAGACCAAACAGAGATAATTCTACTTTATTGTAAAGCTACATTAACAAAATCTGGCAAGGCTAAAAATGCAGACAGTCCTGCTGGATTTACAATAGTCAGCAGGTAGGTAGATCATTTAGTGACTGTTCAAAGTTACAACGGCACTGAAAAAAGTGACTTATGACCGTTTTTCACACTTACGATCATTGCAGCATCCCCATGGTCACATGATCAAAATTCAGTTGCTTGGCAACTGGTTCATATTTATGACAGTTGCAGTGTCCAGAGGTCATGTGATCAACTGTTGTGATCTTCTGATGAGCCAGAGTCATTTAACATGGGTGTGACTTACTTAACAACTGTGGCAAGAAAGATCATAAAATGGGCCACAAAACTCTGTCATGCCCCTGGTGGAGACTGACTCTGAGGGAGAGGAGGAACAGCCGACAGGGAGTGGAAGTGTGGCTTCAGAGGTGGTGGAGGAGGCTGGGGAAGGGCAGAGGCCAGCTGAGCAGTCAGAGGAGGACCCAGGCCCATCCCCTATCCATCCTACGGCACGCAGGGAGGAGAGGATAAGGGAGAGATGTGGTCTCCTTGGGAGGAGAGGGCCTTGATCCTCTTCATGGACTGGAAGTGTGAGAACTGCATAAGAGTTTGGATCTGCGTACTGGCAAACGCTGGAAACAAAGCGTGTTTTCTTTTGGTCTGAAGTTATCTTGGTCGGCGTCCTTCCAACAGACTGTGCCTTGTTATCTCCTTGAATTTGGTACATACTTCTCCTGTTCTGTTGTGGAAATTTCACCATTGTAGTTTGTTTGGTTTTTTATTTCACCTCTATCTGCTCATTAAGTTCGGACTGTATCGCTTTCTTTTGAAGACTATTTTTGAGTACGTTTTAACTCCAACTGAGTATTATTGAACAGTGGGGCCAAGTTGGAGGCATTAAAGGACATTTATTTACGTTTTAGATTTTGTTACGTTTGTGGTACACTCCGGGTCATCACATTCTCACTTAATAAATATCTCATTTAAGCAACAGAAATTGTTGGGCTCAATTGTGGTCGGAAGTTGAGGGCTACCTGTAATTTGAGCCTGGTTAGTGGTTACAGTATTTGTGCTTCATGTGAGAACTCTGGTGTGATTTGTTCTGTGAACCAATGAATTGTTTAATACCTGTATGAAATGGAATGGAAGGGAATGGAGTGAGTGAGTGAGTGAGTGAGTGAGTGAGTCAGTCAGTCAGTCAATCAAGCAATCAGTCAAAAACACATACTTAAGCATCACTTCTGCTTTGGCCTTAAATTCTGTTCTCTCGTTCTCGTTCCAGACAGCAGCATAATATTCTGGTTAGCTGGTGATGACCATCGTACAAAGGTGCCTTCAGCTATCTCAGTGGAGGCCACAAGTTACGCCCTTCTGTACTTAGTGAAGCAAAATGATGCTGAAAGAGCCTCCAAGGTGGCTAAGTGGCTGACTGAGCAGAGGAACTACGGAGGAGGATTCAAATCGACACAGGTACTGACTGAACTAAGGAGGAATTTCCTGACATAGAATAGAAATAGGAATAGGAATAGGAATAGGAATGGAATGGAATGGAATGGAATGGAATGGAATGGAATGGAATAGAATAGAATAGAATAGAATAGAATAGAATAGAATAGAATAGA